AGAATCATGCTTTCTTTCTGGGGAAGGTTCAGTGATGGAATCTCCATGGAGTCTTTCCATGGGGAGTTGGTTTTGTCAGAGAGGTAGGAATCCTTGAGACAATTAAGAATATAAATTCCCATATAAAACTAGGGCACATAAGCTGTGTCCATTTTCCACAGAGTAAATAGATATGGCAAATCAGAGCAAAAGCAATCCCCTAAGGAAACGAAGAGACAGGCACTTTCAAAAAAATCTTTATAGCAGATCCTTCCCACATAGAATACTCAGAACAACCTGGGTCTAAATTTTGAAGCTGAAGGATAGACTCATACCGTGAAAAATCATTTAAAAATAGCTACCGTTTACTAAACCCTTATTGTTCTTCAGACTCTGTATATATGTGTGCATTATCTCATCTAAGTCTTACAACAACCCTATAAGGTAGACACCACTATTCTCCCTATTTTATAGAGGATGAAACTAAGAATCAGGAACATTAAGTAATGGTCCCAGGAACATACAGTTAATGAGTGGCAGAGGTAGAATTCAGAAAGGGTCACTAACTCCCAGGCTTGAGCTCTTAACAATTATCTCTCAGGCATAGGGAAAGGCGTCCGCTTCTTACGAGAACAGGAAACAGATGCCTTTCTTGCATGGATTCTGAGTCTGTAATGATATAAGACGTCAGGAATATTTACCTTAGACCAATTATTAAACTTTAGAGTAGACTGGTATCACATTGAAGGCTTGTTAAAACATAGATTGCTGAGTCCCATCCTGAGAATTTCTCCCTCCTTGCCTTCCTTCCTTTGCTCCTTCCCTCCCCTCCCCTCCACTCCACTCCCTTCTCCTTCCCTTCCCTTTCCTTCCTTCCCTTCCTTCCTTGTTTTTTGTTTGTTTTTGATGGAGTCTCACTCTGTCGCCCAGGCTAGAGTGCAGTGGTGCAATCTCAGCTCACCGCAACTTCTGCCTCCTGGGTTCAAGTGATTCTCCTGCCTCAGCCTCCTGAGTAGCTGGGATTACAGGCACCTGCCACCATGCCCAGGTCATTTTTGTGTTTTTAGTAGAGGTGGGGTTTTGCCATGTTGGCCAGAGTGGTCTCAAACTCCTGACCTCAAGTGATCCACCTGCCTTGGCCTCCCAAAGTGCTGGGATTACAGGCATGAGCCACCAGACCCGCCTCCATCCTGAGAATTTCTGATTCATTAGTCTAGGGTAGGGCAGGAGATTTTGCATTGCTAACAAGTTTCTGGGTATTGTTGGTGTTGCTGCTCCTTTGAGCACCATTGTCTAAACCAAGTTTCTCTAACTAAGTGTCATTGCCTGAGTGGCTTCCCCTACCTAATTAATCTTTCACTGTTTAGTGCCAGATCCCCTGGGGTCTTGACAAGCTATAATGTAATCTTCTGCAGTGCTGTGTGTTTTGAAACCTTCTGAACTCTTCCGAAAATAGTGAACATCTCCCACTCTAAAACTAATGTACTGTTGCCTTAGGTAAGACCTGAGATTCCATGAAATGTAGAAAGAGGAGCTAGAAGAACCAATAATAGATAACAAAGCAGCCTGGTACACTGAAGCCAGACCAGTTCCCTCACAGGCAGTGGCAGTCCTTTCATAACCTCTGGGATTGCCTCTAGGAACTGTTCACAAGAGGGTATTCATTAAAACCTCTTCAGGGCATTCGTATTCATGAAGTTAAAAAGAGCTGTAACACAGTGACTGGCCCTTTAATGTCCCTCCCCCCAAACGCATTCCACCCTCTGAAGAAGAGGCTGTAACTGTATTCCCTGCATTCACGATTGAGCTAATTTTCTCTTTCGGCTCAGTCTCGAGGGAAGCTGAAAGGAAATAAGAAAGCCTGTGGTCCAGGTCTGCTCACACAGAGGGGAGGCTAGAGAAAGGGGCCAGTAATCAGGATTAACCAATTTAATGCCTGACTTGTTTATCCTGCAGAAAACATCACTTGGTGATGCTCTTGTTGATCCCTTCAGAGTGTGGCATCTTTATCTTAGGCTTTTGCAGACTGTGAAAATAAATGAACAGCTTCGTAACAAAGCAAAAGAATTTGTCAGTGGAGGAAAAATAACTTTAAGAAACACACATGCATGAGGATCAGTGTAAGGCAGGCCTCAATTCCTTTATGCAGCCATTGCAAGTGTTGGGATGAGACGAGCAATACACAGCTGGTTCACCGAAAGGGCTCGGATGCAAGTATAAGGAGGCTTAGGCACCAGAAAGAAGCCTCTTGGAATCAACTCCACCTTCACCATGAAGTTTTAAGGGCAACAGAATCAATGAAAGGTGGGCTCTATTTGAGTCTGGAAACAACCAACTTTTTTGGAGCATTTTCCTTTTCTTCAGGCAGCAACTAATAAATCCTCCTCACTCCATCTCCAGGACGACAGTTGGGATGACTGGATTGTATAGATGTCAGGATGACCCAGATAACTTCAGAGGGTCTATATCTGGCCTGCAAATGAGAGCTACTGAATTCTGGCCACGAGGCTATCAGCCAAGGCTATATCATAGATGGTAGAAAAGTAGTCCAGAAAAAAACAAGTAAGAAGATTAGACATTTATTAACTATATGTCAAGCACTATGCTCAGCTATTATTTTCTCCTTTAGTGCTCATGGTAACTCAATAAAATAGATGTTATTATTATTACTACACCCAATTTACAGAAAGGGTAATAAAGAAAACATGAATTCAGGAAGTTTGTCTATGTTCACCCAGCAAGTAAGCTTGGGATTAGAATTCAACTTAAATCTGACTCTAAATCATAATCTTAATTATGCCATATTCCCTTCAAGCAGTGCAGAACATATATTGAGTCCTAAAAGCCTAAAAGTACCGGAAGGACAGGAGAGAATGCAGAGAATCCCTTTAACGTTATGTCATTGATGCAGAGGTATGTGTTGAAAAGTATGGTTAGATCACCACAGAGTAGTTGGAAGATACAAGCTCTGTCCAGCACAGTCCAAGAAGACTGTGCCTCATGCGTCAGCAGCCAGGCACAGTCCTGGATGAAATGGGTATACATGAGGGGCTGGAACAGTAAGAAAGGGAACAATGGAAATCCCCTTCTCTATCCCTGTTTGAAAAAAAAAAAAAAAGTTCTTAACATCTTTTGAATCTGAAAGAGGAACTTTTCCAGATACATGAAATATCAACACATGGTTCCTATTTCATGTTTTCCTAGGAATATCACAAACCAGCATAACCAATGGGAGGGAGAATGTATTCAAAGTTAGTTTTTGGCTCACCAGGTCGACCTACAATGCCTCCATAAGAACAAGAAAAACTCTGAAATAAAGGCAGGGTATAAAGTCATGATTTCATGTGGCTTCTTTGGGAATTTCTCACTTCCCAGACGCCTCCTCATCCTGCAACACTTGGCAGTCTAAAACCACTTTCTCCTCCATCATTTTCACTTCCTCATTGGCACCGAGGGTACAGATTTGTCAATGAACTATTTTATGTTCTTCCCCTTGCCATCTGGCAATATTAGCTCTCTAATGAATTGCTTCAACTTGTATATTTTTTGGACAAATGTGACTTTTAGTTGAATTGTGCAACGTCCATAAATAGCAAATCCTGACTGATTAGAATCAATGAACACCCTGAGAGTTGTCAGCAAAAATGGGCCCTTAGCTGAACATTACTTAGATAATAATTTGAAAGGCATCTGATTATTCTGGGGAAAAAACCTTTTACACACACGTTCTGTGTCATCTGTTATGTATGTAGATATGTATTTGAATTTGAATGGATTTTTGCAAGCGAGCCATGTTACAAATATAAGTGCTAGATATACCTGGATTTGGAGCTAAACACATTTGGATTTGAATCCTACCCTCTACTTACAAGCTACATGAACTTGGGTACATTTCTTAATCTCTCTGTCTCACCAGTTTCTCACATGTAGAATAGATATAATAAATCCCTTGCAAGCTTAACTTAAGGAACAAATGAGACCACACATGCAATGTACTTGGCACAGTGTCTAGGCATATTATGGCTTAATAATTAGTAACCACTATTATCATCATGCTGTTCTATTAATAGAGGATTAGAGCAAACCCAATTTGTGGTCTCTACCAACACTTAATTTTTCCCTTCTGAAAACTGCCATAGCAATGGGCCTCCAAAGCCCAGTGTCTATTATATTACACTGCTTTAGTGATAGGGCAAGAATAAGGATACTAAGGAAATGTGAGACATTGGGTTTTTTATACAACTTGGCAGATTCTCTTTTGGGTTAGTAAATGGTCCCTATTATCCCCCTAAACTAAGAAATTGTGAGGGGGTCATGTTTGGCAACCTGCATGCCAAGGCACTAAAAGTCAGTCTGCAGAATGTTGCTGATGTGCAGAAAGAAGCAGATTGACTTGAACTCAAATAAAATAATGCCTTGGTTCTGATAACTTTCCACTTTCATGATAAACCATCTTCCATCTTTTCTTTCCTCCCTCCCTCCTCCTCTTCCCTCCACTCCCCTCCCTCCCTCCCTCCCTCCCTCCCTCCCTTCCTTCCTTCCTTCCTTCCTTCCTTCCTTCCTTCTTTCCTTTCTTTTCTTTCTTTCTTTCTTTCCTTCTTTTTCTCTTTCTTTCTTTACTACTTTGTGTGGGTTTCCATAGTCTTCAACCAAAAGATCTTTGTTAGCAGTGTCATCGCTGTACATGAGGCCACAGATCTTCTCTGTATGGCTTGGATAGCCTAAGCATTTGAAAGGTACCTGATTTAAACAAACAAACCCCCCAAAACTTCATACACTCACAAGCACACATGCGGGCACACACACTTTCCTTATGTTATCCTTTTTCGACTCCTGAAGAGCATTAGGTATAAAATCAAAATAGTCACATATGTAAGGAAATCAAGTATGTATGGAAAAAAAAGGGAAAAACAAAAAGTTTTTGTTCAAAAAAGAGCCATAAACATTCCTGATATTACAAAAATAGTCATCTGATCACTTTGCAGAGCCCAAGAAAGAATGGAGAGACCCCAACTCTTTACCTGGTGTTGCACTGGATACTGTTGGCCACTGTTGATCAGGTGCTCCTGGACCAGCCCGTAGAATGCCAGCCTCCTCAAGGTGCACAGAGCTGAGTAAACACACAGACCCAGATAACGGTTAGACCATAAATGCTTTCCCAGCTCTTCTTCCACCCTCAGAAATTGCTTACATCTATGAAGACAGGGCTGCAGCTAACACATTCTGCTCATGCTTGGAACTGAAGCAGTTACTGCTGAGCAGTCACCCTGCATAAACTGCAGGAGCATTGCTGACTTACTTACTGCCTGCTATACTATTCCAGTAATACACATGTTCTATCTTAATGGCGATTTCGTTTTTTATTAATGCCACGTGACACTCACTAAATCTAACAGGAAGCCCATCAGAGGACTAAGCCATTTTAATATCTTAACACTGAAGCAGATGAGGAGGGCTTGTTCTCAGAAGCCCCAAGCCTCTCTTGCCAGTTCTCTTGTTTCTGGGTTCTCTACTCTAAAGAGGAAAACACACCAAAAGTATTGGCTGATAATTGGAGTACTGTTCCAATTTGGTTATCCAATTAATTCTTAACCTTATTTTCTGTTTTACTCTTTCTACATCTCTTATGCATAGATGACCCACCCTGTATTTCTGAGACTAGAGAAACCAGATCACCACCACTCACAGATCCCAGTTCAGAAGAGATTAATTCAACATAAAACACTGCTGGGAGTGAGATACAAACTGGGAGACCTTTAGAGTCAAGAAGAGATAGAACATAAATTGTTCAAGGGGAAAGAAAATATGATACAGTATTCATTTGTGTATGTCTAATACTAACAAATATTAATCTCTCAAATATTTGTTGGATGCTGAATGAATGATGGAAGAAAGGAAGAAATAAGTGTGATCCTAAGAGAAAATGTCCAAGAAAACCATCCTCAAAATTAGAAGACCCTTTTATTTTATTTTTGAGACAAAGTCTCACTGTTTCACCCAGGCTAGAGCATAGTGGCTCAATCTCAGCTCACTGCAACCTCCGCCTCCCAGGTTCAAGCAATTCTCCTGCCTCAGCCTCCCAAGTAGCTGGGACTACAGGCAACTGCTGCTATGCTCAGCTCATGTTTGTATTTTAGTAGACACAGGGTTTCACCATATTGGCCAGGCTGGTATTTAACTCCTGACCTCAAGTGATATGCCTGCCTCAGCTTCCCAAAATGCTGGGATTACAGGTATAAGCCACTATGCCTGGATTAGAGGACTCTTTTAAACTAGACGTGTTTATCTTGAAAGTTAAATTTCTAAAATAAAATTTAGACTACTGACTGAAGGGGTTATACGAGGCAACAGAGCAGGCAAACTTGAACTAGTGGGAAGGCAACATATAAGTTCAATATTTTCTCACTCTTTGACTTCAAACAACATATCTAGTAGAAATCCACTCATTAAACTCTGACCTTTTGCTATTCTACCCTTCATCTATACTCTGGAATTACCTGATTGTTTCCCAAATATTAACAGCCTTCAAGTGTTCCTGGATTCTACCAGCAAATTGTGTGAACTCAATCAGATTCATGAAGGTGTAAGTATTCTGGAGCCAGCTCAGCTCAAAGCAGCATTTTTTAAAGAATAGCTACATGATATCTAAGACTGGAAAGGCCAAGAAGCCAAGCACACATATGAAAAAGGTGAGTATTATTTAGGTTCACAACTCAGTCAATATGTTCAATGTATTACAATGCAAAAAAGAAATGGCATTTTAATTTCGATTTTTATTTCTGACCTTACCAAAATCTCATAATATCTTAACTGAAACCTGAATAGGAGCACATTTGGCTTTTTTTTTTTTTTTCAATTTGAAAATGGGATAAGGGTGGCCAGGCGCGGTGGCTCACGCCTGTAATCCTAGCACTTTGGGAGGCCGAGGTGGGTGGATCACCTAAGGTCAGGAGTTCAAGACCAGCCTGGCCACGATGGTGAAACCCCATCTTATAAAAAAAAAAAAAAGAAAGAAAGAAAAAAAAAAGAAAATGGGATAAGGAAGTTACGTTTTAATGTTTTATTTCAAATGTAGTTTTTAAGGCACAACTCATAGCTTTGGTACTTTTCAAGCAAAGCGCTAGTTCAACTGAGAGAGAAAGAACTGACACTGTAAACCATGCTTTTACCCACGGCATGGCTCCACCAACAGCTCAGATGCAGGCAAAAGCACAAGTTTGTCTCTAATAAATACAAAGAATTTCTTCTGATACCTAATATTCTGATATCTGCATGAGTGTTTCTGGCCTAAATATGACGCAGGTTCCAATGTGACATCTCACCAAGCCAACTACTAATCTTCGGCCCTTCACTGATTGCTTCTGAATCAGAAATAGCACCCAATGTAATGACTTCTGCTCATTTGTAATACTTGAGAGTATGTTAATTTATTTCAATCTGATGCATTTTAAATGGACTAAAACTAATGTTACATTAACTCTACACCTACTTTGTAGGCTTTCTCCTTAGGAACTGATCTGGGTTTGATGAATATTCACTTGATAGTTGTCCAGATATTTTGAAGTGTTTAAGTTTGAAGATTATTTCTTCTTTAAAATTAAATCCTTTTCATAATAGTGATCACTTGTTTCTTGGTCCTTCCCATTTTGTTTCCAAAAACATTCACAAATAGTGAATCTTTTATTTGGCCTTATGGCATGGATACTAGATCACCTCCAGAAATAATGGTAGTTCATCAATTACCATCAGAGAGACAAAGTAGGGAAAGCAAAATGATATTTAATCTGATTCTTAGGGTGGTGCTATTGCTCTAAGTTAATTTAAAGTAAGCTACATTTGGTCTCCAGATATCCAGTAGATGCCCTTTACATGGCTCATCCTCTGAAGAACCTATGTCATTGATGACAATAAGATAGCACCAAGATGGGAAAGATGAGGAGACTCTAATAGGGGTGAACGTGAACAAGAATAGCAATCAATTATTGTGGGTAATAGGTTGTAATAATCAATGTGAGATAGAAAAATAAGGTAGACAACATGTACGCAAGGTACCCAATCCTCAAAGCATCAGTATTAATTACAGTTTTTAAAGGAGAGAAAGAAAACATAAGTAGAGAGGGATGAAGGAGGTTGAAATTACTTCCCTGTAGAAATTTTGATGGGAGAAAATACACAGCAGCCTGTTTCTGTGATTTTACAGAGGACTCATAGATGCCAGCACTTGGTAAGCATTTGGCCCTGACCACTTCCAATCTTTCAAGGAATAGACATGGGGACAAAATAATTGCATTTTTCTGGCAAAGTTAAAGCTTTTTAGTCTTGACAGTTGCTTCTGGCCTATGGAGATGCAGTTTATCTGAGCCATACTAAGGTAAGGTTACTTCTGAGTGAATAGGAGGGAAATACATACCTGTGCATGCCTGCTCTCAGGGAGGCAGAGTAACGCCAGTCAGGATTGGGCTGTCGTGGCTGTAAAATCACAAAGAGAGTTTTCTGTTAAAATGACAAGACAATGTTCTCCCAGCGATGATTCCCTAAATATTTCCAGGCATCTAAAAAAAGTGTTGAATGAGCCATTTCCTGTGTAACTCTATGATGATATCTATACATACATATAGCACTTTAGAAGAAAATTAGTTCGTCAGGGTCCTCACACAGATCAGATATCCTGAAAGACGACATTTAATAATCTTGTAAAGGCCAGCTTTGGCTTTGCCTTGCCCAATACACGTCTGTGTTCTTAAAATACTAGGGGAAGAACAGTCTATTTTGAGACAGGAAAAGCTTCATTGCTTTTGCCCTCAAGTGCACCATTAAGGGAACATTCCCAATTCAGTATTATAGCTATAACAGGGCACATGGCTACACAAGTTCTGCTGGCCTGGCTGGACTGCAGAGGACTGCAATCTGCTGCTGGCTTTGCAGACTGCAGCATATTTGACCCAGGGCAGATGTGCCCAGTCATAACACCAGAAACTGATAACAGCCTCTTTGCTGATTAAAGAGGGATACTAGGGAGAGGAAAAGAAACTACTGCAGAGTTTGACCTTGTTTTGCTACCTAATCCCTTTCATAAATTTGTACTTGTTCCTGCTCCTTTCTGAATGCTTTCCCTCCTCACTGAATCACTGTTCACTAAACTCTGGTTGTTTAACAGGGAGTAGCTGAAATCTAAGAAAAAAACCTGATTCATTTTGGACCAGTTGTGTATTGGAAAGATCTGTTGCCCTCTTTCTGCAAACTGTCAGTCTAAAGGGGGAGAACAAAGAGGAAAATATGGATACCTAAAGACTTAAAGGCTGTTGGGGAAATTATGCGCTGGTTAAAAGTTACTCAGAAATCACTGGGACATTATCAGTCACCATCCTGTCTTGTATCAGTAAGCAAAAATGTTACCGTGAAAAACTCGTGACACTCCTCTAGATGCGCTTTCATGGGTAGAGAGTAAGGTGGCCCTGCCACTGAATATTGAGGTATAGTTGAATGGAAAAATGGGGAATAAAAGTTGTATTTTGTATTTTCCTCTACATTATATTTATCATATTTGGTAGAAACAAAACCATAGTAACATCAATAGACTATTCCAAATTGTCAACAATTCTTATTCCTATCATTCATATAGTTCCTTCAAGGGATGCAAAGTATCTAATAAACACATTTCTTCATAACACCCAGGAGAGAAATCATCACCATCTCAATTTTCAGACAGATTTGTAGATGGCTACATGATATTCAATATTCAGAGATTTAGCCAAAGTCAAGGCCCAGAAAAAGTTACAACTCTGGGATATTTTACCTCAATGGTCCTCACACACTAACTACTCTCTCTGTTCTTCCAATCTGCGGGCAAGATTCCTCCTTGGTTTTCAAGTTCACACAATGCTATGGACCTTCCATATAAAGTAGCATAAAATTATCTACAGAACAAATCAAAGGAGTTTCCATTTTCTACTAGCGGTGTTAGAGGGAACAAGAGAAAATATTTGTAAATCATTTTATAAACCTGGAAATGTGTCTGAAATACTTTTTATTAATCAATCATCACCACCATCTCTCCCCTCTCCATCAGGAGCATTATCGTTAGCTTGTCAGCTGAGAGAACCTTCCTTCAAGAAAAACTGTAACATCTGTTGAGTAAATGTTGCCAATTTTTCTATGATTGGGTAACATTCATGATGAAAATTGCTGCAACTTGATCTTTGGAATGAAATCACCAAATTCATTTTGCTGAAAGGCACAGTTTTAGCAGGACTGACCAGGAAACTCGGTTCATTATACAATCTCTCTTTCCCAATGACACATTAAATTTGTCATGCTGCTATTTTCTATACTAGTCCACAGCAACAACATGCTTCTCAGATTCATTTGCCAGAATCACAGTTACAAGATTTCTTATGGCAGTAAGATTGGGCAGGGAAAAAGAAAGGAATAAAGCATTTAATATGTTTTAAGTAGCTTCATACCACTAGATTTTGCACTTAATTACATACTATTGCATTTATCCTGATTCTTTGTAAACTCTATGAAAGTGTATCTGTTTTGCTCATTAGACACATGTATATCTTCAGCTATTCATAAATGCATAGCAATATAGTCAGAGTCTAGCAGGCTTCTGGCATTTGAGAGGTTTTTAAACTGTGTTTAAATAAATGAACTATAATGCAAAGTCAACATTATTGTACTTAAATTGCAAAAATGAGAAATCTGAACTTTAAAGAAATTAAATTACTTGCCTGATTGCTGAGTTCAGCTGACAGTCATGCTTAGGTCTCCTTAACACAAAAGTCTGTGTTTTATTTATTTGTTTCTATTTATTTATTTATTTTGAGACAGGGTCTTACTCTGTTGCTTAGGCTGGTGTGCAGTGGTGCAATCTGGGCTTCCTGCAGGTTCAAGCAATTCTCCTGCCTCAGCCTCTTGAGTAGCTTGGATTACAGGCACCCACCACTGTGTCCGGCTAATTTTTGTATTTTTAGTAGAGATGGGGTTTCACCATGTTGGCCAAGCTGGTCTTGAACACCTGACCTCAGGCAATCCACCCGGATCTGCTTCCCAAAATGTGGGGATTACAGACTTCTAAGCCACCATGCCAGGCCAAAAGTCTGTGTTTTAAATAAATTTACATGAAATGACATATATTTTTCTTCTTTGTCTTTTTTACTTCTGAGTTTCCCAGATATTGATGTATTTTAAAAACAATACAAAATTAAAAGTAATAAAATGTACATGAGTTTTATCCAGAACTTGATTAAATTCAGAAAAGTTCAAGTTAAAAGGTTGACTACTGATATATGTGACACAGTAAGACATATGTTAAGCCTTGAAATAACTATGATTATTTACTTCTTTAATACTTGGATGGTACCTCCCTGGACTATGCTTACTTTCTGTTGGTGAAGAACTCCAATATGTCCTATTGTTTCAAAGGTTAGTCTTCTGGTAGAATAATACAAAACTTCATATGTGGAAAAATTCAATGAGGTAGTCCGTATGAGTGATGTATGTTACTGAAGAATAAGAATACACTTGCGTTCCTATTAAAATTATAAAAAGATTTAATTTATCTTGTAATGGTGTTATTTGTGATTTATACCATAGAATATTTGAGCTACAGAAGGATGAATCACCTCTTCTAAGATTTAAAGTAAAATAAGTTTAAAATACCATATTTTATTCATAAACTTACACAACTACTCTGAAATAATAAGCTATCTTCTTAACGTGGAAATCCATGTAGAAGACATCAATAAATTGCCCTCTGGGACATGAGACTGCATATAATAGCTCCTTTTCCTTCCTAATAGGACTCTATTAAGAATATATCCACTGCAGATTTTTCATAGTGCTAGTTTGTGAACATTGACATAAACTGATAGGCAGAATTCCAAGATGGCCCCAAGATCCCTATATATACACCCTGAATAATCTCTCCAAGACTGTGACTGTGAGGGATCTTATTCCCATGATTACATTATGTTATATAGCACAGTTGGCTTTAAGAAAGGAAGATCATCCGGATGGGACTGACATAATCATATGAGCTCTTTAAATCTGGGTCTAGAGGTCAGAGACAGAGTTGGAGAGATTTGAACCATAAGAGGGATTCCATGTGAGGGAAGATTCTCCATTGCCAGCCCTGAAGATGGAGCAGACCATGGGACAGGAGTCCTGAGTCCTCAGTTCTCTACGCACTGAGACTGACCCCAGGCCATAGTAAGTAGGAAAACAGAGATCTCAGTCTCCAGGCAACTGGATTCTGCCAATAATGTGAATGAGATTGAAAGCATATTCTTCCTCAGAGCCTGCAAAAGATAACACAGCCCAGTTGTGTTCATTTCAGCCTTAAGAATACCTGAGCAGACAACTCAGCCGTGTGGTACAGGACTGTGAGATAACAAATACGTGGTGTTTTAAACTACTTATTTGTGATAATTTGTTGCAAAGCATTAGAAAAGGGATATATAGGGTTGCTGCCAGGCTTAACAGTTATCCTTACTGGGCAATACTTGGCTGGGTTTTCAGCGGGCTTCCTAGGGACAAAAATGGCTATGCCTGGTGATTTCTACCTCCGTTACTATGTAGGGCACAAGGGGAAGCTTAGATATGCCAACAACAGCAATTACAAAAATGATGTCATGATCAGAAAAGAGGCTATGTGCACAAGAGTGTGATGGAAGAACTGAAGAGAATTATTGACTACAGTGAAATTACAAAAGAAGATGAGGCTTTGTGGCCTCTCCCTGACAGGGTTGGCCAACAGGTTTGAAACTGTAATTGGAGATAAGCACATATCTTCTACCACATCAAAGATAGTTTCTCTTATTGATGTAAATCAGTCAAGGATCCTGAAGGCCTTTGAGTATTTTACTATTTGGTACAAGACTTGAAATGTTTAGTTTTCAGTATCATTGAATTACACTTCAAGATTAAACCAATTTAAATTGTATGTTTTTCAAGCTGTTTGTATATTTAATTAAGGGATAGAAGGATTTGTCATTTACAATATTGGGGTTTTTATGAATGTGAAGCAAACAAAAAAAATTATAAGTAAACTGAAAATAAGAAAATACATTAGCAAGCTTAACAGTTATCCTTACTTGAGTCCACGTGGGTTGAACAGTTCCCACACATTAAATTCTGTAAATAAAAGCCACCTTTTGTTAAAAATTTGCTCTAATAAAACATATCAAATCCTAAAAAAAAGGGAGAGAGAGAAATAGACTGTTGTTCATTAAGGCAAAAGGGAATGTAACATTTAAAATAATCATTATGTTGCATATTGGTCTTCTAGTACATCAAAATGAGGTCTGGGTGTGGTGGCCCACACCTGTAATCCCAGCACTTTGGGAGGCCAAGGTGGGTGGATCACTTGAGGTCAGGAGTTGGAGACCAGTCTGACCAACATGATGGAACCCCATCTCTACTAAAAATACAAAATTAGCCAGGCATGGTGGCACATGCCTGTAATCCCAGCTACTTGGGAGGCCAAGGCAGGAGAATCACTTGAACCTGGGAGGCAGAAGTTGCAGTGGGCCACAATCATACCATGCACTCCAGCCTGGGCAACAAGAGTAAAACTCTGTCTTAAAAAACTAAAATAAAATAAAACAGAATAAATAGCCAATAAATTTGAGAATTCTGGGTGGAATATTTTCCTCTGAATATAGTCATTTAAAATCCTAATTTATAGAGCAGAAAAGTAACCTAACTTTAGAACATACCTAATGGGTTCCAGTATAACAGGAAGTGCTAGGTCTGTTTAGCTCTGCATGCATAGCCTGCTAGCTCAGCAGCTACTCTCTCACTCACAGTTGGACCTCCTTGGAGCCCAGAGTTATGATCCTGGAAGGCCAAAAAGGAACTGATGCTGCTTATGTGCCAAGGAAGTAAGACTTCTCTTTACCTTTGCAATGTTAGATATTTCTTTGCATTTGTCAAGTTCAAATTCTTGAAAGAAAAACTCTTGTATAATTTTCAGGTTAGCAGATTTAAAACACTGCAAAAGAATCCTCTTGACCTTTGATTTTTGAAGTCATGGTTATAGATTATACTACTCCAAATATTATCACATGAATAAGCTAAGTTTATAGTCATATTATAATAGGCACAACATTGATCTAGGTGAAGCTCTGTAAAAGCCACATTTAAAGTCACCCGTAAAATGCCATCAGATGCAGCTCAACCCCTGAGTTTAGTGACAGGTATGCTTCCTCAAACATTTTCAAACTGACATTATTCTGACCTCTCATTGGGAGCAAAACTTGGTAGGCAACCAAGGCAAATATCCAGAACTGACTTTGCTCGTCTGTCAAGTAGACGGCATGCCAATAGGCAATGTATAATATGCCAGGCTGTGACCCTGCAGAGTGTGCTGAGGTAGACCAGATGCCCATGTGATGGCTCACTCCTGGGTCAGAAGGAAAGAGTAGGCCAATGACATTCAAGCTACAATAAATAGATTTCTTCTTCAGTCAGAATGTGTACAAGATAAAGAGACAGAGAAGAGCTCAGTCATAATTCCATCTGGTTCAGCAATCCATAGAAAAATCAAAGGAGATAATTTAAATAAATTATTGTATTATCAGACCAAAGAAGATAAACTTTTACTCAGAAGAACAGTCCTATAACCAATATGAAATTTGCAAAATAAAACAGCCCCAGCCATTATAAAGTGACTATGAGAGGATGAAAAAGTGGAAGTTCATAGATATTAGTCTATTCTTAGTCTATTCTGACCATTCTGCAATTTTTATAAATTCACTACCATGTCACTTTATGCTGAGTGTAAACTCTGTTCCAGGATAGAGTCACCAGGTAGAAAAGTCAGCGCTGGGGGAAATAAAAATAGGTGCCACTGAAAGAAGAATTAACTCTTTCAGCTCGTTATATCTGGAATTGGGGTGAATATGCACACATAGTGGCAGAAATAACTGAAGGTTTGGTGACTACAAATTGCTTTAAAATAAGTGGAAGTGAATGCAAACTTAACACATCTCTGCCAGTCTTTTGTAATTTCCACGTTGTGCCAACTGGGCCTACTGAGACGCTGTTGGACAAATCTACCAGAGTACTCAAAGTGACTCATTAGCAATCACACTGCCAGGACCACAAATGCACAGAATCTACCTTAAGATTTAGTTTCTTATTATGGAGACTCTGAAGGGAGCGCCAACCACATTCAGTATCAAGTTCAAAATTTCCAAAGAGAAATTCTGCCCCATTGCAAAATAGTTACTTCAGAATCCTCGCTGCACAAGTGATTCATGAAATAAGCTCACTATGGGGTAAAATCTACTAACAGATTAGAGCCTGGGGTTAAATTCTGTTGTTTAATAAGCAACAAGAGAAAAATCGTGAAATAACAGAAATAAAAGATCTTAACAGGCTTTGCCAATAGTGAAGCAAATAAACAAATACAAACATATTAACACCATGTGCAACATAGTGAGACCCCATATCTTAAAAAAAAAACTAGGCGGACACGGTGGCACACACCTATGGTCCAAGCTACTCGGGAGGCTGAGGTGGGAGGATTGCTTGAGCCTAGGAGGTCGAGGCTGCAGTAAGCCATATTCATGCCATTGTACTCCGGCCTGGGAGACAAAACAATACTCCATTTCAAAAAAAAAAAAAAAATAGTAGTAACTCACTGGTATTCCCATTTGTTACCTGCTTCTATGCAAGGAATTACTCTTTTTCCAAAAGCAGTTAATATATATGACTAGGTGAATTAGGTAATAGCTTAAATGCCTGAATATCCCGTATCAAAGGGAATATAAACATTGGAACTTCTGTCTACTGAAAAAAGTTTTTGGAGTCAGATGAATACCACTTAAAATAACACTAGCAATGTGACGGTGAATATTACCTAACCTCCCTGAGCTTATTTCCTCATATGATAGATGTTAATGAATATTTGTTTAATGCATGACTTGCAGGTAATGAAATCACATATATTCAATATTATAATATTCAATATATCGAATAATCTTGAATAATAGTCAAGACTCAATAATATGTGATATATGTGCATGTAAATATGTGATATCCATGTATCTATGTAGCAGGGTGGTTAGTGAGTACAAATTCCCTAACTCTTCCTCTCTAATTCCCGTCTACTTTTAATGTAGGCACATGGTATTAATTGTACCCAGGACTTTCCTGCCATCTGTAGTCACTAGGTAGAAAAAAAAGAAACCCCAGCATGGGAATTTAACAGGTTGATCTGGTAATGACTTTCAGAATTGAGTGACTTTTGTTCCCATCTTGGCATACTATAACAATGTGACTCACTCCCTCCCTGTAATTGCAAAAATTTCTGAAGCTGTAGATCTTGCTGCTCCTCACTGGATTTCCAAAAGTACCTGGCAGAAATTTGCTTTTATTAAAATCATGTACTCTCCTGGCAAAATCTCCCAAAAGTAAGCACTTTCTGACGTAATTTTCTCCCTAGATTAAACGTTTGTGTACCAAAGTACATATTAACATACAGGTCAGTGTAAGACAGAAATAGTTCATGTATCAAATTGCCCCAAGCTTTGAGTCAGGAGAGGGAGGGTAACAGTGTCATCCCTCTGAGCTTCTGGCTCACAGCTGATGGCAAAGCTGAGCCTGGCCTGAGTTGTTCATGCCTCTTCACCACCTGCAGCCCACCCCAGTCCCAAAGGGCTTCACAGGAATTTGCTAAGCAAATGCCTACAGCAAACTTATTGAAAGTTAAACCCTTTTACGTGCTTTCAAATGCTACGATCTAAAGAATTCTGAAAACTCTTTGATTCCCCCCCACCCCACCGCACCGTTTTTTCTTAACCTGCAATCTGCCTCCTGTGGTTATTCAGCATTGACTAACATCAGGACTTCTAATAAATGAATAAATCTATCTGAAATGTCCATAAGAAAATCTACTCTCAACCAGGAGTGGAAACTTTTCCAACTGTGCATTACATTCCTCAAGATTATCATTAACTTGAAATGTGACAATATGGACATTACTAAAAATACAGCAATATGTCAATAAAAATATATTGCAAAACATAGGGGAGAGACAAATATTGTTCAAACATTGTGTAGGTAGTTCTAAAAGCCCTTTCTACAAAGTAATTATTTGGAAAGATAACAATTCATCATTATTTATGACACAAAATTTTGGCTTTTGAAATCCAAGTTTTAAGTATCACAAACCATACCTCTATTTTTCAAGCATACATATAGAGACAAACACACAACACAAACATACCCACATATTCATGTACTTTCTAATAATTTATGTACATTCTTCATAATGAACAAGCTGGCCTACTTAAACCTCAAAACTAGTGCATAAACTAACACCTGCTGGTACACCTTACTGTAGGGTAAGCCATCCGCTTTCCAAACCAGCCTTTTGAAGCTATTGCAAATCAAATTTTAGATCCATAAAATGAATGTATCTTTCGGAAGTACTGTCATTAAACTTAAAGACATGAAGGCCTTGAAAAGGCTACTTTACATCTCATCAAAACCATAGGAACTGTCAACAGAAAATCAGAAGATTACAGACTGCATTTAAGCTAAATGCAGGGAAATCCTCTTACAATGAATTCAGAGTATACCAAGAAAGGTGGCTATTGGAAAAATTCTTTTTCCCTTCTCTTCCTCCCAATCCCAGCTTGTCTTGGTGTTCATCATCCCCCCACACCCCTAATCCACTCATTCTAATACCTCCCTGGCCCAACAAGACAAATTGGTACTTAATCTCTCTGCCTTACCATCATCCACCCCCTCTGACAGCCCCCTACAGAACAGTTGCCACATCATACAGCCAAAGCAAACTTTAGCTTCAGTGTGATATCTAACTACTACAGCTTTATTACCTGTGACATGAATTTCCAGAGGATTCTATCACATAGGTTCAGTGCAATTACCAGAAATATTAATTAGATAATTTCCATGATGGACAGTCCAGAGTATAAACAGAGACAGCATATAGTGGTGACTATGACAGCCCCTAGAGGTCTCAGGGTTTTTTAAGAAACATCACTCCTATAGGAATTCAAAAGAAAAATTTCCCTGTAGATGATACAGCAGAGGCCATTTCTTCTTGAGTCTCATAACATTACTCCCTAAAACATAATCCTTATTCCAAGGCCTGTTCTGTTACTCTACAAATCTGTCTCTTAGCATTAAATATTAAGACTAATCCTCACTTCTCAAACAATGTTATGGACAAGTCTTCATGTCTCTGAAAATGAAAAATAAAACAATTCTTTAGTGCTATTTTTCTAGAGAGGAAACAGCAGATTATGATCAAATTTCAGATTATATATATATACACACACACACACACATATACTCAGTTTATCAAATAACTCTTATCACTGTTAATGACTCAATAAGGCCAATCACAGGATATTGGGGGATGTGTGACACATGCATGAGTTTGTAGAAGACCCCCTGACCATTACCTCACCTCATTTTGAGGAACAGCCTCGTTTTTGAGAATAATCAGGTTCCCAGCACTCTGACCACTTTGGCCTGTGAGGTTCCTGCTGTCAGTCACTGATGCTTGGGCTCCCGAAGGCCCTGGTCCTGTCTGGGCCCCTGTATTGTAAAACATGAAAGTGTCACTCCCTGAGCCTGCTGTCAGACAGGCCTTGTAGCAGTAGGTCTTGGTGAGGGAGCCATTCCCTCGAACTTCAATGAAGTGAGGCTGCACTTTGAGGCCATGTGGTATCCTGGCATCAATATTGTTGTTGGCCTGTTTGTAAAGTTCTGCAGGAGACCTCTCCCTTACTCCACAGAAGCCTCCGCAGCATGCAGTGCCATACGCGGTGTAGTGGTAACACTTGATGATGCTCAAAATGATGATTGTCAAAAGAAATATAAAAGACACTGTGCTTAATGCTATTATTAGATAAAGGGTAATTTCAGAGTATGTCCGAGGGCTCTTAACATGTCTCTGAGTGTCAGGGAGGATTTTGGAAACCCTATCCACCACAGCTACTGTAATGGCCACAGAGGCTGATAGTGATGGCTCTCCATTATCTCGGACCACCACGGTCAGGTTGAAAGTGGTACCACTCTCATCTCCTATCTTCCTGGTAGTCCTAATTTCTCCTGTGTGCAGCTCTACTTTAAAGAGGTCCAGGTCAGAAGTCTGGGCTAGATGGTAAAAAAGCCAAGCATTTTGCCCAGAGTCTGAGTCCATGGCTATGACTTTGGTGACCAGGTAGCCAGCAGGGGCAGTTCGAGGCACCATCTCAAAGGCTGCTGATGAATTGGTTGAGGTAGGGTACAGAATGTGAGGGGCATGGTCATTCATGTCCACCACATACACGTTGGCAGTCACAGTGCTGCTCAGTGGTGGGCTCCCCTTGTCCTGAGCCTCCACAGTCACAAAGAACTCCCGAAACTTCTCATAGTCAAAGGAGTTGACAGCATAAAGGCTGCCACTGGCACTGTTAATGGAGACATAGGAGGTGACTGGCAGCCCTTGAATCTCCCTCTCCAGAAGGGAGTAGGTCACCTCTGCATTCTCCTTTTCATCTGGGTCTGTGGCTTGCACAGTACAGAGCAACACACCTGGCAAATTGTTCTCCTGGATATAGATGGAATAGGAGTCCTCCAGGAAGCTTGGTGGATTATCATTGATGTCAGAAATCTCAACCTTCAGCGTCCGCTGGGATGTAAGCTGTGGTATTCCCCCATCAGTGGCTGTCACCGTGATGTTATAGACAGCCACCCGCTCTCGGTCCAGCGAGCCACTCACCACCAGGGTATAGGAGTTTCCAAAGCCATTCAGTCGGAAAGGCAGTGTGGCCTCCAGACCCAGGCTCACTTTCCGGTTGGGGCCTGAGTCTTGGTCATTGACACTGAGAACGGCCACAATGGTGTTGGGTGTAGCATTCTCAGGCACTGGGCTATACAGGTCTGTGAGCACCACCTCTGGGGCATTGTCATTCACGTCCACGATGTCCACCAGCACCTTGCAGTGACCTGCCATGGGCACTGGACCCCGGTCAGTCGCCTGCACATAGATCTGGTAGGAGGAGGCTTCCTCATAATCCAGCCCCCCAATTACTCGCACTTCCCCAGTACTGGCATCTATGCTGAAGAGCTGTCTCTCCCGGTCCGACGTGTAGCTGCTCAAGGAGTACCTGAGCTCACCATTGGAGCCCTCATCCGGGTCTGAGGCATTCAGCTTCACCACCAATGTGCCGGGGGGTGAGTCCTCCCGTAGCTGGACGCGGTAAGTGGACTGGTCGAAGGCAGGAGAGTTGTCGTTAGTGTCCAGGACACGCACAGAGATCTGTGCCGTACCCGAGCGGGCTGGGATGCCCCCATCCACGGCTGTGAGAACCAAGTGGTGCAAGGCTGCCTGCTCCCGGTCTAGGCCCTTACGTAGCACCAGCTCAAGCACTTTACTGTTCTCCTGCAGGGGCTTAAGGTCCAGCTCGAAGTGCTCGCTGGGGCTGAGCTCGTAGGTCTGCACCGAGTTGGCGCCCACGTCGGGGTCCTGCGCACTCTCTATGTGAAAGCGCGCTCCAGGCGCCACCGATTCGCTTACCTGAAGCTGGTAGTTGGGCCGCGGGAAACGCGGTGAGTTGTCGTTGATGTCCAATATTTCCACCTCAACGGCGCTCACCGCCACGGGATTGTGCGCCAGCACTTCCAAGCTGAGCAGGCAGCGAGGCCGCTGCTCACACAGCGCCTCCCGATCAATGCGCTCGTTGACGAAGAGCGCTCCACTAGTCAGGTCCAGCTCCAGGTAGCGCGGACTGGGCGCACCCAGATGGTTGATGCGCAAGCAACCCGGCCCCAAGCGCCGCAACTCGAGCCCCAGCGCGCGAGCCACGTTGCCCACGAGCGCGCCGGGTGCCTGCTCCTCTGGCACTGAGTAACGCAGCTGGGAGGCCACTGGGCCCGCTAGCAGCAGCAGGAGGAGAAGAGGCAGTAGCAGCAGCCAGGGCATGGGCCGCCGGAGCCGTGGATGCTCTGTCGCCGCAGGTCTGGTGCCCGCCTGCTCCATAGCCACGGGCCGCGGCGGAGGCAGCCGGGCAGGGCCGGAGGCGGCAGCTTCCCCAGCCGTGCTCCACGCCCGGGCCCCGCCTCCGCTCGTGCCACCCTGCGCCCGCTCCCCCACCGTTCACGCGCTAGCAAACGCCTGGAGCCGCTCCCTCCGTAGGCCCTCCCAAGGGCTCCTGGCCCCGCCGCCCTCGCTGACTTCCCATATTTCAGCTCCTCTGCTCGCCTCCGAGTCGCTCAACCCCGCTTGGCTTCCTGCTGCTGCTGCCGCTACCGCTCCAGAGGGAGGGAAAAGGAAGCAGAAGGGGAGACGGAGGGGGAGGGGGAGGGGGAGGAGGGCTCAGCAAGTCAGGCTCTGATTCCGTGCCGAAGTGGCAGACAGCGAACCCGGACTGCTCAGCCTCTCCAGCCCCATCTCCTTCATCCTGGACCTGCCGGATCCCAGCGGACCGCAGGGACACGGCCACTCCCTTTCTCCCTACCCCCACTGTCCTGTTCATCCAATCTCCACGGTCTCTCGCCTGCTTAACGGGTCTTTAAGGAGATTAGTCTGGGAAAAGCAGTCAAGTCCCTAGAAGTCTGGCCATCAGCTCCCCAGAAGAAAAGATTTCCAAGCGCAATTCAGGAAAATAAACGGAGGGGCCTTGACTAAGTATGGGCACCCGGGCGGCGGCTCTAACATGAAAAGGAAACAACGCAGGGGGCGGCGCTCTGGGGTTACTGGCGGTGGGAACTATTCACCTGACCCCTACATCTTCCCTGGACACTCTTAAGTACTGCAGAAAGTGCTCAACTCCTGGGGCAAAAGGAGGGGAATGGCAAAAGCTGCCCTCTTTCCAAGAGCAAGCCTAAAATCAGCAACCTGGAATCCAAGACTCAATTCTGCTCCCGGCCAAGTGCCCCTTACTTTCAGTGTGTGCCTTGGCAAATAACCAATATTTGAATGTTTAAAATGCTCTATTTTAAAAAATCTCCATGAAGCTGTAGGCAAATCTGTTATTTGATCCATTTTGACTATAGTGAAGAAAATCTGGTAAAATTTGATCCATTTTGACGATAGTGGAGAAAATCTGGTAAAATTTTTAAAGAGATTCTTCCCTCAAGCTTTTTCGAATCTTGCTTCAAATCTTTTTTATTTATCATACAAGACGCTTTCTTTCAAGAGTGATTTAAAATTTTTTCTTTAATGGATAACAATGTCTTCAAGAGTCTGCAAAACCGTTAAATCAAGAAAGTTACTGTTGATCTCCTAAGCCAGGCTGGAATTTGGATTCCATTAATGCTTTGCAGTTTAAAAAAAAAAAAAAAAAAATCTGCTGTCGTTAAGCAAAACGTGGAAGTCTGGGATTTATCTTACAATAACCAGCAATTTCAATGGCTGCAGCTTCTCTTCCTTAAATATAAGACTCCTTAGACTTCTGTTCTTTTGTGCCCCTAAGATTCCTCTTGTACTGCAACAGAGGCAACGCAGAGACAACAAATTCTCTTCAGTGAAGAAGGCAGAAGGATCAGAGGAAATCTTTCCAAGCTGTGTCATTGCCTCTGCTGCTCAGAGGCAATGAATATTCACTCTTCCCAAGTCCTCACATTTCTTCCACAGGAATTTGAAATCTATTGGCTCATGTGCAAATAGCACTCACTAAAATGTCTTTCTCTTCCTTATCTCCCAGTATCCTCTCATCCGTATATCTTCCTCTATGGGTCATTTTCTAGCTATGGAGTAGAACAAAGTCAGAGTGAGACCTGACATTTGGCATGCTTCCCCCCTAGTGGGGATGGTTAAAGGAGCCAAGGTTGTGATCCTGACCCCCAGAGTTCAAAGGCCTGAACTAGCACATCCCTAATCCCTAGCACACTCACTAACAATGCTCCACTACCTATCCAGTTTTATTCCGGAGAAACACCCAGCTTCCCTCTATCACTCCTGCTTCTTATTTGTCCTCTTTGTTCCCTCAAGGGTACAGAGTAGGAAGTAATTTTCATCAAAATCTATTCCTGTCTCCTTTCTTGGGTCTCTGCCTTCTTCCTCTTTTCTCTGCATCCTCCCCAAATATCCCTACAATAATTCTGTCTCAGTTTGCTGTGGTAATTTGATCTGTGAGGCCTTAATCTCTCAAGTGCACAAACTGTGGACCTGGCCTATGTCCTCACCCATTACTTATTTCTGAAAATAGATGGCTTATAAGTGGAATCAAGTTGTAAGTTGTCAGAAAAAATGATCTTTCCTCCCATCATCTGCTCCCAGCCCTCCGAGTCGCTGCCATCTCTGCCCACAGCTTACAGACCTGGCCACTGTGTGTTGACCAGGCATAGACCTGTGACTGTGAAAACATCATAGGCACTTAAGGAAGAGATTACAGTGACAGAGACTTGGTGATTTTTTAATGGAAGCCCCCAAGTGTCATGTCTCAGGAGAAAAACCTGGATTCTCCTTTCAGCACTCTTGTCATCTTCCAGCAAGGACACATGCCAGGTTGTCCATTTTGCTGTTTTAGGCCCGTTAGGTATTGGAAGCTCCAACTAATATTTACTGCCTTAATTATTGAGGAGGCAAACATAGAGCCAACACAATCAGCCTCCTTTTGAAAGACATTGTACTAAAGAGATGGTATACTCTGTTTGGCACTATAATGATTTTGTTCCTCACACTATTATACTCAGGCTTCTGTCAACTTACTAGTTGTTAGAATGTGATTGCTCAAACTGTTGTTAATTACCCTTTCTATAAATATTAATGCTAATGCCTTGACCACACCATTATGCATTCCTTTCCTTGGACCTTCAAGAACTCCCTATTAAAAAGTAGAAGAACACAGTAATTAGAAGCACAGACTTTGGAGTCAGTCACACCGCTGCCAATGACTAACTGTGTGGCTTCGGACATGCTACTTAACCTAAGCTTCATTTTACTCATTTTAATTAAGGAAAACAATAGTAAGCAACACTCATAGGGTTATTATTATGATTACATGAGAAAATGTATGTAAAGCAATTTGCACAGTGACTAATAAGTATATTATTGTTGTTGCTGTTGTCATGAATGCAACAATATATTATCATCGGATAACACCTTAGTTGGCAGCCTTACATGTAACATGGCCCTTTAGGTATCAAACACAGATAAGCACATGTAACTAGGCCATGTAGGAAATCAATGATGATGGGAAGATGAGTATACAACAAAGTTAAGCTTTCCCAATTACTTCTGGAGCTATATCACATTTTGAGAAAAAAACAGCCCCTTTTTATATCACCAAGGAAATGGGACTTCTGTTATGAGAACTCCTTCAAGGGATTTGTTTCCTCACAAGAAATTTACCTTTTTAGGATACATAGAAATACTTTAGCAACAGAATATGAAGTTAGTTCCTAAACGTGCTGTAATCTACAGCACCCAGTATGGAGCTTAGCACAGGTGCTCAATTAGTGTTCTTCGAAAAGAACTAAATTTACAAATTTACCCGTGTAATTCTAATACAAACAGTATCTTATTTTCTCTCTTCCTTTTAAAATCTTATATACGGCCGAGTAAGGTGGCTCACGCCTATAATGCCAGAGCTTTGGGAGGCCAAGGTGGGCAGATCACCTGAGGTCGGGAGTTCGAGACCAGCCTGACAAACATAGAGAAACCCAGTCTGTACTAAAAATACAAAATTAGCCAGGTATGGTGGCTCCTGCCTGTAATCCCAGCTACTCGGGAGGCTAAGGCAGGAGAATCTCTTGAACCTGGGAGGCGAGGCTGCAGTGAGCCAAGATTGCGCCATTGTACTCCAGTCTGGGCAACAAAAGTGAAACTCCATCTCAAAAAGAAAAAAATCTTATATACATTTCAAGGTCCAGGTGAAAACCTACCTAATCCATGAAACAGTGTCGATTCTAAACACATGGTTTTTTTTTTTTATTTCATTTTTACAGTCTACAGCATATCTCTGTAAGCTGACATGTGTCATTTTTTAAATTCATCCAAATACTTTAACATCTCTTTAATTATAAGCAACCGAAAAGCAGGAGACATGTCTTATATTTCTGTCTCCTTCACAATGTAGAAACCCTTATAGACTTTCAATAAATGTTTATTGCTTCATTTTCTTCAGATCTTATTTTTAGTAAATTCAAGAAAAGCTGCTATAGCCCTTTTCCGTATATAGATAGGGCATATCTTATGAAGAGGAGGTTGAGAATCTGAAATGGTTTTACTATGGATTTCTTCTTTGTTAAATACATCTATCATGAGATCACAGGGCATAGGAGCAAAACCAATCACAATACAACAGAATTAAACCTATGGGGAAAATGTTGGCGCTCAGTAAACTCTCCTAATTCGCATAAATTATTCTTTCTCTATTATTAACACCATTACAGACCATTTTACCTTTGGAAACCAAACGATCTGGAGTCTTTTGGCCACAGGACAAAAATACATGCTCATTAGTTTGATCAGCTTTGGGGATGGTCATTATAAGAGTATCTGTCAAATAGGGAAGGATCTAGTTTTCATGTTTTAATTTATGTATTTATGTTGCTCTACAAACTGAGCCCAAGTTATATAATAAAAGAGAGAGACAAATGGTCACCTCTAATGTTTAGTGTTGTCCAAAGTAGTTTTTTAAAATGCCATCTTGTTAAAAAACAAATAGGATTCCTGATCTTCATGCATTCCCCAGAAGAAAAATACTTTCCAATATGATTATAGCATTATTTACAGATAAAACATTCAGTGGATGGGAAGATGACAAAAGTTTTGGTGGATAAACTTTTTCACATCTCCCTTCCTCCAGAAGAAATATATCAGTCAAATATTTGGCATTAACAATTGGCTTTTAGGGGGAGATCCTCTAAGTTTTTAGTTCTAAAAAACTAATATATTATTGATAGTTGGCTGAGGTGTCTGAAAATTGCTTAAAATAAACAAAGAGAGCTGGGCATGGTGGCTCACCCCTGTAATCCCAGCACTTTGGGAATCTGAGGTGGGTGGATCATGAGGTCAGGAGTTTGAAACCAGCCTGACCAAGATGGTGAAACCCCATCTCTAATAAAAATACAAAAATTAGCTGGGCACAGTGGCATGAGCCTGTACTCCCAGCTACTTGGGAGGCTGAGGCAGGAGAATCACTTGAACCTGGGAGGCAGAGGTTGCAGTCAGCCGAGATGGCGCCATTGCACTCCAGCCTGGGCAACAGAGTGAGACTCCATCCCAAAAAAATTAAAAATACAATAAAATAAATAAACAAAGAGATTCAAGCCATCTTTGGATGAGTAACAATAAAAAGAGAGAGACAGGCTAAAGGTTTAGGGTAGATTGTATAATATTAACAGATAAAATCAAACTAGTCAGTATTGGGGGAGCTTTACTTCTCTATAAGTATTCTCAATTGACAATATTAAAGAATCATAGAATATTAAAGTATTTTTAAAGTATAAAATTCTTTCTTTTTCATTGAAGAAAATGGTTAAGTGAAACTTGAACCTCAAGATCAATAAAGAGATAGGAGACATAAAAGTGATATAAGTAAGTATCTGTGGCCAAATAAATGACCTTCCAAGGCACTGAAAGAACTTACAGATGTAACTAGAGAATCCAATTTCCTATCTTTTAAAAAGTGCCATTGAGCTTGATATAAATTCCTTCAAAACTCTAGTATTACTAAAGCGATTGTTTATGAACACTTAGAAATGAAGGCATTCATACCAAGGATTACTTTGGCTTAATTAAAAACTGGTAACTTCAAACTAACCACATAGACTTAAGATTGTTTTTCATATGGGCATTTTAGATTTTAGTTGCTAGAATCATTGCCAAAATAAATGCAATATATCAAAAGAAAATTTTTAAAAAAGAAATGCTGCAGGAACAGTTCATCTAGAATTCATGGAAACATTAAACAAAGTCTCCCAATATACTCATGTGGACAAGATAAAGAAAGGTAGCTGCAAGACACTGTAGTTAGGTGATTTTTTAATTGTTTAAATAACATTCCAAAAAGTATTTATTAATGGAATACTTCAACTTAAAAGGAGAATTATAATGGGGGACTACAGGGAACCACTCTTAGTCTTATCCCAGTCAACATTTTATTAATGACTCAAAACAAGGAGGTACCAAGTGTCCATGCCAGTCCAGCAGTAAGTTGAGCATCTTTGGAACAAGAATTGCAACTGCCTAGGTTACACTATGTTTCTAATTCACTAAACTTAGCAGCAATTTTCTATCTGAAACTCAAGATATGCCCCAAAATTCATGAGTGTGCATTGCAGCTAATTTCTGGCTTATAGTTGCCATTAAACCTGTTCCAAGTTTCCATTCATCACTTGGGGCCTCTTATTTTAATAGAAAACCTTGTTTGTTCCCATTTCTCTTCTGTAACTCTTCAGATTTTAGCCACAGACTAAAATAAGATGGGTACTTGGCACTAAAGAACATCCTCGTTCCCAAGCAGATTTTAGCCAAAGCATTCATTGATTTGGATAGGGGTTTAAAAAATACATTTCAGAAATATGTTAGATAGTGTTGAAGTACCTTGAATTTGAACTGTTTTCCTAAGCTCAGTCTATATGCAGGCCACGGTTTCTCTTTTCTATGCCCATTATATTTGCTGCTTGGAACTAACAAACAAACCTGCACCTCTGTGTCAGGATTACTTCTCAAAATTATCCATTCAGATACATAGAGTATCAAGTAATTATTGACTTTTTGGGCACTAGCCCCCTTGCATCCTAATGCTGTGGCACTTAAGAGTTGGCATATTATTTCAGCACATATCTAACCTGATGTATTCCTCAAAGGACCCTAATGAGGTTGGTACTGATGAAGAAACTGGGTCCCAAAAAGGTGAAAGAATTTATCAGAAGCTCCAGGAAGCTTCTTTTTACCATGGTTCTGTTTCTTGAGATTCTGAAATAACACCTGGCCACTACACATGCAACCCCTAACTTAAGAATCATATTATCAGTCTCAAGCTATTAATATCTACGTATTTCACAAGGAATACTATTGTTCTCACAAACCACAAGTTTCTTTCTCTTTTAGAAATTTCAATAGAATCTTCTATACATGCTTTTATAATAGACGGCCAGACTTAGCAAAATCATGATGCAAAATAGATTTATACTTCATATCCCAACTTCTTTCAGTACCATCCTCCTCCTACCTACGATATTCTGCCTAAGTAATGGTGCTTTACAAATTGCTTTGATTTTTCTGATATAAATCCCACTCATGTATTCTTTGATAGATTTTGTTACATAATTCCTTTAGCAGTTACAGGCATAATACATCATAATGTGGGTAAAATATAAATCCTCTAAATTAGCCATGTCAATATACACTATTTTTACTGAATATTAAAATACACTTTAAGGCATTTTGATGAGATAATATTATCTAAAAATTTTCCCTTTCAAAGCTCATTTTATTAAGGTTATTTAGAAATGATTTACAAATTCTTCAATTTTGCTTCTGTGTTTTTTCTTTTTTCTGTCACAAGCAAGGAAAGCATACTATACTTGGCTGATAGAATTGAAACAAAAAATCTAGTACTGATTCTATTTATACAGCATCTGTGAATTAATGGTCTTAAAAATCTTAAAATTATTTAGTTTGATGCATATGTAACAATATGCCTTGGTTGATGCCAACTTCAGCTTTCCAGCACAAAATAGAAAAAAAATATGCAAGCTCTCGGATCAGTCAACACTTTATCTTAATTTGTGACTTTTTTTGAGACAGGATCTCACTCAGTCGTCCCCCTGGAGTGCAGTAGTATGATCACAGCTTACTGTAGCCTCAACCACTGGGTTCAGTGATGCTCCCACCTCAGCCTCCTGGGTAGCTGGGACTACAGTCATGCACTACCACGCCCAGATAATTTTTGCATTTATCGTAGAGACAGCATTTCACCATATTGCCTAGGCTGGTCCTGAACTCCTGGGCTCAAGCAATCTGCCCACTTCAGCCTCCCAG